GTCTGAATGTCTCAAGCAGCTTTTTGGAAATCCACTGCATTGCTTTGGCAGAGATCTTGGTCCCAAAGTTTCGGTCAAATGGAGATGGAGCTCCTCCCTTTCAAATGAATCAGGAGGTAAGATTCTGTAGCTTTATTAGACAAACACTTGTTTTACACGTTTTCCATATATGCTGTGTATTAAACTCAGAATTTCCAGGTGTCTTGCATGTGATTGACTGCACTGCATTTATTTCTGTACTGCTTACAGTATGTTTTTTTTGTATTTTATTTGCATAACATCTTTTCCTTTCTTTTCTGTTGCATTCTCTCTGCTGTAATAAACATTCTGTTCTACCTTTTTCATGTTACATACAGTTATTTGTCAAAGCCGTTAGCTATGTTCAAAACACTTACTCTCCAATCTGCATTCATTTGCTTTTCCCTTTTCATGGAATGATTACCACTGACACTGCTGTAGAAGGGTGTTCTCTCACTGAGCCAGTATGAAACATGAACTAGTGCAGTGGGGTCCTACCTGCTGCATGTGTCCCAGAACATTCTTCCTGCAGTCAAACACTCCCTTCCCTTCTTCAGAGTACAGCTGGTAGATAAAGTCTGTAGTGTAGTTGACACTACTGTTCTCATTCCTACAAACATACAATGAAACTGATTTTCCAGACATCTGAGTGTGCATTCGCCCATCCAACACCATACTAGAGGTGCTGTATGGCTACAGCACTATCGGTTTTTAAAGTTTGGTTTTATACTGAAAATATGCAAAATGAACTGTCTGTTTCTTCAGTCAAATACTGTATGATGGAAATACTGGATTATAAGATCTTTAAAAATCTAGCAGCAGCACATCAGCTGCATGTCTGGTCTGTACTTAAGCACTGTTGTATTTGACTTATTAACTAAACCCGTCGGCACTAGGTTGATTTAAGCTGTCATTTTCCTACCTGAGAACCAGTCCTCTTTGAATGCTAGTCTTCATTTTCTCTGTTAGATGTTCAACATTGGACTGTGGGAAGAAACAGTACATGCTAGTAATGGTGACCATATTAGGCCGTCTCAGATTAAAGACTGAATGCAGCCTGATCTTGAAACTTAACTGAAAAGTGTATCAAGTGATGCATGAATAAACATTTTGTCAACACAGGTATTCAAGTGTGTATGTTACTAAGAAACTACATGTCACCTGCAGGTCTCTGATGTCAAAAGTCTCCTCATAGATGTAAGCAGCATCGGCTCCAGAAGCCAGGCCTCCTACACTGGCCAGGTAGCCGCAGTAACCTCCCATGGTCTCTATGATGAACACACGTCTCTTGGTGCCACTGGCCGACTGCTTGATACGGTCACAGGTCTAACACAAGCATAGAAACTCACACGGTTAGTATAATTACTACAAGCTAAGCCTTAAACTCTGTGTATACATCTAAAGCTCCACACATTATTAAAGTGTCAAAAAATTAAGCAAGCGAGATTAGAAATTATTTGCTGTTATACATTCATCAGCAGAACACCTGTTTCAAAGCCAACATGATCATTTATCTCTCACAACAGTCAACCTGTTACATTTAAAGTCAATGCAAACTCAGGCTAAAATGCTGCTTTCACCAGTTATAGCAAGTGGAGCCTGCAGAAGGATGAGAGAGCGAGAACATCAAATGGTAAACTCCAAATATAACTTGCAGTTCAAATAGAAAACACCTACTAAAACTAAACTATTTTCTACTTGATTTGATGGGAAAGCAGCCTGATGCTGATAATGAGTTTGATATCACGTGACTGAAACTTTGGACCTCTTACTGACTTTAGAGGCAACTCCAGCCGTCTAGTGTTGCTCTTCTTTAAGGCAGGGCTCATAAGAGACAGCTTTAAAAAGGTGCTCAAACACCCAGAGCAGCAGAGGCCAGATATCCCTACCTTTAGTCCTTAGTAAAACCCTAAAACAATGGCTCCTACATTCCCTTCCAGCTTTATCATATTAGCCCTACTTGCCATGTAAATACCCATGTCTCTCAAGCCCCACACCTCACTTGTACATTGCTTTCTGTGGGGGTGGGGCGTCCCACAGGTATGTCATGAGGATTACTATTCAACCTGTGAATACTACTCAAAATATGTAAAACTGAAGTTTCCTTTTAAATGTTGACAAATATTGTGGTTATGTTAAGGTTAATATTATACCCATTGTTAGTGTTAGAACTACAGATGGGATGAGATCTGATCTGGGATTTTAAAAAAAAATTAAGGCTGCTAAAATCTATGGAGCTGAAGCAAATACTCATGTGACTTTACTGCAGACCTGTTTTTGTAACCTGACAACTGTGTATACTTGACATCATGAATCATTTTCATACTCTTTACATAAGAATCCTGAACAAAGCTGCGGCGGTGGCGTTGGTTTGACTGCCTTACCTCCACAATGGCATTGAGGGCAGTGTCTGCCCCGATACTTAGATCTGTGCCCGGTACATTGTTACTTATGGTGGCAGGCAGCATACACATCGGGATGCAAAACTCCTCATAGGTTGCGCGAGCTTCATACAGCTGCAGCAGACATTCAAACGCCTGAAGCAGCAGTACATGAAAATGCATTAGAAACACTCTTAAGAGCAGCCACTGAGAGGTGAATCTCTCAGTTTGCATGAGCGTAACCTGCCATTCCAGCTCTTTCCGTGTGATAGCAGCTATGGCTTCCCTTTGGCAGAAAGAATGTGAGGACAGAAGTGTGAATACAAAGATGAAGACGGTGTGAAAACTGGGAAAGAAAGACAGAGGAAAGAGTTGAGGAGAGACGAGCCCCCCCCCTCCCGCCAAAAGGGTAGGGAAGAACAAAATGTGGCAGGAAAGAAATGGCAACTGATGCTGTACAACAGTGGTGTGAAAGGAAGAGATGAAACAGAGGGCTGTGCATGTCTAAGTCTCAAATGCTCAATGCAGTCACACTGCATAGGCCAGTCACATAACACCATGCTGCTTATGCTGTAGAAGGGAACATGCAAGCAGGACAGGCATCGACTTGAGTCTGCATACACATGAGAAGAATGAGGAAGGTTCAATTATGTTATGCTATTTTTATTTACACTGCTTCAGTTTATGCAAATTTGTCTTAAAGGCTTTAAACAAAACAGCAGGAAAGGATGTTTTTAATTGCTTTGAATACATTGTTGGCACAAGGAATTTGTGATGATAAATAAAATTAGTGGAGCATTATTATTAATCCAAGAAGACAGAGTATACACAATCCAGTACATATTAACTGTACTAGAGGGTATTAATTTGTTATAGCTGTACAGAAAGTGTAAGCTAATAAGAAAACAGCAAAGCTGCACGTTACCACTATTGAGGTTACTGATGTGGGGGGAAACAAAGAGAGTCAGGAAGAGCAGACAGCGCAAACACACTGGTCAAGACGCAGCATGCCTCCCCATTACCACTCACTCACTTACCTGATCGGGAAGAGAGAAATGCTATTCTAATGCTTGGCCTTACCTTTGCCAGTCATGTGTCACAGTACAGATTCAGACTCAATATGGCTGTCTGCCTGGATTTGTAGAGGTCTTCGGTGAACCTTTATTCCAGATGTGGCTCAAGGGTTCATAAGAATTACTTCAAACAGTCTCCTCACATGCTGGTAAATGCCCCAAGTGACTGGTAAAATGACTTAGTGAGTGATTTCTCCCTTGTTGACACATGATTTGCTGGCCGGCTACGCAAGCATGTTGTTTATGTTTGCCTGCTTGATTGCATATGTGTGTTTTACTGTGCATGTGTCTGTGGGCTGCTGAGATCAACTATACTTATTGCCAGTTCCATCACTTACATTAGTGATGGCATTCAGAGCTGTGTCAGCGCCAATGCTGAGGTCTGAGCCCGGCACATTGTTGGAGACAGTGGCTGGCACCATGACCATGGGCACACAGAACTCGTCATATTTTCCACGAGCTGCTAACAATTCCAACAGTGACAGGAAGGCCTGCAGGGCAGAGCCAAAAGCTTTAGTATTGGCAAGGGTGGAACCTTAAGTGGTTGGTCTGGATGAGAGGTGCTACTTGCCACAAGGAAGGGGAAGACAAAGGTCAACGTTGCCAAGGGGAGGAGCCAGGTCTATCACAACGGACAGCAGCGAAACAGACAGGTACCACTCCACATACACATCTCTACTTACACATGAAACTAATTCACTTGCATTCATCACAGGAAAAGTCAAGCTGGTGGGCATCTACATAGGAGTGCGTGAAATGGCTGGAACAAAGTAGGAGCTCTAAGTTTTCAAATACAATTAATCATCATTTATATTTCAGTAACAGTGTTGATTGAGTTTTAATCTAAATTATTTAAATGTCTCAGATTTAGGATCCTACTTTCTCTCTACACATCTGTATTTAAAGCACTAAAAATCAACAATGGATCAAATTTTTACTGCTGCCCTGTTCCAATTTTGGGAGAGCAATGACTTTGAAGCATAATTATACACATGCCTATGCATGAAACAATAAAATGGCATGCTGACATCAAATGGGGAAAGGCTGATGAAAGAATCAACACTGCACTGTTTACTGTAATATACAATATATGTACATCTGACATTAATTTGTAATGCTTCAACAGTTACTTTTATTTTATGATAAAATAAATACACAACTATCATACAAAATATAACATTAGTGCTACTGTACAGTCAAAACTCAACAGTTAATAAGCTTATGGACAAAATCAAAAATGTGAATGTAGCTTCATTAGCACAATGACATTTGGTAAAAGGGACCAAAACGGTTTAAACATACCTCAAATCCACCAATAATTAGCAGTGCATTTATATTGTGGCTTCGCATCTGCTCAGCAATTTTTTCAACATGCTTCGCAGGAAGAGTTCTAAATAAGGGAAGCAACAAAATCATCATCATTCTCAAACATCATTCACTGAATCATTAGAACAAATGACCACATTAATTCTGGTCCTTAAAACCTAAATCAAACGCCTTTTAAAATCTTTTGTGTCTATGTACAGCACAATAGAAGAAGACAGCTGTTTTTTGTTTGTTTTTAATAGCTTGATATAAGGGATGGTGTGTACCATAGGATTAGATTCAAACACAATACAATTATGTATAACTTTATTCCTCTAGCACTGGTTTAATTATTTAAAGAATAACCTGATGTATTGACTTACCTTCTGTTAAGCTATCTTATTTACAAAAATATGAAGTAGCTGGTGTGTGGAGACCACACGACATATGTTGCAAGAGAAAACAATACATTTTATGATGTTTTTGTATCGCAATACGTTGTCCCATCCCTACTTGATAGTTATTATTATTATTATTTAAGCTTGAATGCTAAACAGTTGTCTGTCAACCAGAGACAATAGGTCATGACTTTACCTTTTAGTTCCCAGCAGAGATCCACCTTGTCCTGTCCATCCTCCGACATCAGCCCATTTAAACTCCTTGATCTGAGGGGAACACAGCAATAATATGGGTAATGCAATCTTAGGTGTCTTACTGTAGAACGCCCATAACATTTTAAGCACTTCACTAAAGAAAACTGACAGTGTAATACTGTTTTCTGAATTTTCTGCCATTATCAGTATCTGGTTGTTGCACAAATCTCAAGTTAAAATAAATGGCATTCTCCTAGCATTTCATTCATGCCTAGTGATATGCCTACAATTGTTTGTTGTTAATGTTTATGGCAAACAGACACTCAAAACTGTGTCTCAGCACAAAAACTGCTATTAACATGGGGGGTTAGCAGTCGGAAGGTTGAAGGTTCGAATCTCAGTGGCTGTAGTCCACATGTCGAAGTGTCCTTGGGCAAGACACTGAACCCCTCTGTTGCCTGTGACAGTGCTGCGCATGCACGCGGTGGCCCGAGGCCCTCGGCTCCAAAGCATAATTTTGTTGTACATGTCACAATGACAAATAAAACTACTTCTTCTTCTTCTAATCTACTTAGGCTCAGTTGGTGCTGTGTGATTGCAGTGCACTGGGTGCCACACAGGATGTGATACTGACACTCTGATGAATATAAATTGTCGGGTTGTTTGTTAGGTGCCGTTTTCTGAATGAGCCAAATCTGGGCTAAGGGAATTGAGGGTTTCTCACTGAGAGGAGGTCAGAAAATGATAAGGGAAAGGAGTATGAAACCTGCTTTACCAGTTACAAAGCAGCAACATACAGCAATTATGGATCAAATTACATCTTAAATTACAGTTTTACAAAATACCTACACATACACTACTTTCTTTTAACCTTTCATTCAAAACTCAAGACTCTTTCATATATATATAATGGGAGAATCATTCCAATAAACTATTCCAAAACTGTGAGCATATTCTACTGTCCTGTTTATTGTGGTACCACACCAACTTCAACTGAACAAGGCAGAGGAAAGAGAGTCTGTGTGGGGAATTGGTTTACATTAAGCACACTGATTCACAGATTATCGCTGTATACAGCCTGACATTTAACAAACCTAAGCCTATTTTGTTGGAGTTCTATGAATCCAAATGTGGTTTAGCCTGTGCCATAGGCCTCCACTGGTATTCAAAAGCTATTAAAAAACACACCAGTGACACAAACTGCT